AGGAACATTCAGAACAAGTGCTGGCCATTGGAGCCGTGTACAGAGGGTGGTGGTAAGGGGTTCTCCATCACTTTGAGAAAGTTGGGTAAATATATATAAGTGGGGGCTATTTGGTCTGGCAGTGGACCATCAACCCAGACTGCAGGCTCTCAGCACCTCTGTTCTTGTTGCTAAAAATTCCTTGTTGCTTTGATAATCGGTGCAAATGATGCAACTTCATTTATATTACCACTTGTAGAAGAGCATTTTCTAGGCCTCCGTGTCTACTTGACCGCTGAGAAATGCAGCGTTGGCTGATAAGATGGTTATTCTCTAGTGGAAATACATCTTCCACATCTAATCCAGTTACGCCTGAGCAGAAACCTTTCAAAAACCTCTGCAGATGGATTGCAGAGGTTCTTCTGTACCCTGTGGTTGTGTGACAGTGAGTGCTTGTGGGTGGCGGGTATAGAATAAACCACATTCCAGTCAGGGTGGGGGCAGAGATCCCAGTGAACACCCAGGCACGTGCTCCCAGGCACAGTGAGGTCTTGTGACTGTACATCATCCCCTGCCTTTTTCTTTCCGTCATGCCCTTTTTCCTCTCCATTTCTGGTTTTACCAGAGTTGAAAAGCAATCCTGTCCACTTACCACAGGTTCTCTCTCCAGTCTTAATCTTTCTTGTTGCTCTGCAGCAGAGTATTCCATACCCAGACTTTGTTCAGCTTTGTGTTGCACATAGCTGACCTTTGCAGTCTTCCTGTCCTCTTCCCGTCAGACTTAAAAGTCTTCTAGAGTAATGCTGCTTATACTCCTAAATCCAGTAGTATGACAGGTACGGAAGAGGCAGCATCTGTGTCATCAGGATGCAGTGGCATTACTCGTCATTTTGCTTAGTATATTAGAAATGTTTTTATTCTGGGAGACTCAGCCTGTTTGTATCTTCTACTGAGGTGAGCTTCTTGGCTAAGTCTCTGTATTTCCCCATTTTATTTTAGTGTATGTTGTCCTTTGCCTTGGTAAATCTGAGAACAAGAGACGGAAAACTGAATGGAGACAAAAATAGCTTACAACTGACTGTCCCTGTTACACTCGGTATTCTGCAAATGGTCAGAATGAGGGATTAAAGCTGGATTTTCTTGTCCCTGTAGCTATTAGGTGAGCCCTGCCATAGGTGAGCTCTCCTCATAACCTGCCATCTCTAGTCCGTCGTATCTGTATTCACTTATTCCTGGGGTGGTGTTTCTGGAGGGGATATTTCTGTCTCTCTCCCTGGATGAGAGCTGTACAGGAGACTGCCTTGAAAGCCCTGGCCCATCCATACTCTTTCTGCTTTTTAAATTGTCTCTTCTAAAGCCTTTAGTGATGTCCTTTACAACTATCCAATTTTGAAAACACTCCAGGATTACTTAAAAATGCTGTGGCCTTCATAGACTTGCTCTTCAGTCACTTTTTCCTTTCTGCCTCTCTCTCTCTGTTGCTTGTTTCTTTACGGTTATAACGGCAGCCCTTTTTGGCAGCCCTTTGCACCATGAATGCTGTCACCTTTGTGACTGAGGCTGCAGGTGCACAATAATACCAACAAATGAGGAAGGTGGGAACTTGACCCAGGGCAACACAGTTTCCAGGCTGGACCCTATGGTTTCCACTTTGGTGCCAGGAGATGATGAAGTAGTGTGGGAACGTTGCCTAAGCCATCTTCAGACTCATTTACTGACTTATTATCATTATGATAATCAGGAAGGGAGATATTACATCCTCAGGGGCCACCCTTAAGCACTTCAGGCTTGGTGACTGTAGCAGAGAACAAGGGATGCCCCCAACCTCGAACAGCAAGTCCGAGCTCCCGAATCTGGAAGGAAAAGCGTGCCTCCTCTCCCAGTGCCTGCTGCTCCTGGGGTGGCTGCCTGTCTCCTCCCAGCCTAAAAAGGGACAGCGTTCCCTGATGGGAAGTAATTGCTTTGGAAACCTCGCTGAACATCTGTGTCCAATCAGACTGAACATCCACACCAGTGGCAGCCGAGCATCAGCAGTAGCGTGGAGCCTTGGAAGGGGCTGTGCTCCCGACGCTGCGGCTCCCAAGGGGGTTGCGTCAGGGGAGCAGCCTCCTGGGGTTTGCAGTTGTGGTGGTGCTGCGATTCAGAGCTTGCCAGTGACAAGCTGCAGAACAAAACCACAAGGTTTGAGATGTAGCTCAAAACAACAGGGTTTGGAGAGCCAAACCACAAAGCTGAGAAGTGCAGTAATTACAAGCCAGGAAAACAGTTTTCAGTTCTTTAGCCCTACACAGGGCTTTGCTTACTGTATAGGTGGAAGTGTGAGAGCTGTCTGCTGAGACTCCACATTTGCCCCTACAATTGTTTCAGAAACTAGAGCGGGAAAGCACACCAAAATGAAATACTACCCCAGGTGTCCCTCAATAATAATCTCAGGGGAACAACAGAAAAGTTACAGGGAAGAACACAGAGCAAATACAAATGAGACAGAAAGGAGAAACCAGAGCAATTTCAGTGCAGTGGGATAGCTGAGGAAAATGCTAACAGAAATAGTCTGGAAGAATTACAGGAGAAACAGCCATACAGAAGGGACCAGAGCAGAGAGGTTGTATTCCCAGCTAGGGATAGGGCCCACATTTATTTTGCACTGGCATTTATTCAATGGATATTGAATAAATATGGGCTGAGAGAAGCCCAGGTGTGGATCTAGTGGTTCATGCAGCACTGGGAGAATGAGCAGCTATGATATGTGGTTATCTTTTTCTGAACAGCTCCAGCAACAGCAAAGAATAAAAGTCTCAAATGTTTGTAATCTTTCTTCTTTTCTCTTTAATGTTTTGGGTGTAACGTAAAAGCCGATAAGACTGCCTACTTGTGTAGAATCTCCTACAGAGTGTGAGTCCAAACAAAAGGTGACTTGTGTCCACTTTAAATGGCTTGCAGACCTTCGGTTTGAATTGTTTGCAGAATTTAGGCAATGCCATATTTAGAGTTGCATGTGAAATTGTAATTGAACTTATAAATTTATTTTAGTTTCAGTGTCACACACTATTTTTCCAGGGTGTGCCTGCTGCTCAAACCCATGATAAGATGGTTTCACTGAACGAGTAGCTGGTCAAGATTTTTGTTTATCATCTTCATCTCTGTGAGACCTGGAGCGTGCTTAATGCAAGTGGAATCTGGGATTTTATTTTTTATTATTTATTTTTTCCCCCTCCCTCCCTGGAACTGCTTTATGTGTGCCTTTAGGAAATTCCAAAGGTTCAATATTTATCCGATTTTTAATGAATCTTCACAAGGAGGTAAAACTCAGCTGACATACCGAATCCCTCAAATCCCTTTGTCAAATGGATGTTGGACTTTATTAACAGTTACAAAGTTGATATTTTATTGTAATGGGTTTTGTTTTTTTTTAATGGTGAATCGTTCCGTGGCTGAAAATGTCATATTATCATGGAAGGTGTTGGACTGCTTGACACCAGGCATTCTTTCTAATTCAATTATAATGAAGGAATATGAGTGTTAATTGGGATTTTTTTCCATTTACGGTCCTGAGAGCACTTTGCTATTGTTGAAATGTGAATTCAAAAGTTCCTTGCTCTGGTCAGCAAAGTATATTATGTTTGGGCAGCTTTAAGAGGGTATGTGGGATCAAGGCAGAATAGCAGTGGCAGTCTGCTTAGACTCCTGGTTTGGAGAAGAGTGCAGATCCTGCTCTAGTTTGCTGCATTAATGCTAACTGTAGCACGAATCATCAACTAAAGTTCCATTCTTTATGATCTGAAATTCAGCAGCTAAAGATAACCATGGGATTGTTCCATAAAGAAGCTTCTGTAAGGTGTTTTACACCTTGTGGCATCAGAGTCCACGGGAGCAGTGCATTGTGCAAGTAGTGTGTGAAATGTAGTAGGCATCGGCTGCGGCAGAATTGCAGTTGATAATTACAGGGGTAAGCACTGCTGGACAGGAGAGGCTCCTGAGGATTTTGCAGGGAATCCCCCACATTTTCATCAGTGCCTTGAAAGCAACCATAAAGTCACTGTTAAACTGCAAGCAATCCAAAACTGGTGTAAATAATGACTTCCAAAGCACATGCTTTTTACGCAGAGTGTAATGCCTGCCATGGAGCTCACAAGGAAGATGGCTCAGTGCTGCAAGGAGTTATTTAATCAGATTATCCTACCAAAGCTGTTGGTTAGCAGATTAAAATTCCTGCCATCCTCCTTGTGTCTTGATCTGGATTTTTAACCCAAACAGAAATGAAATGTTAGAATGTAATTGATCTGTAAGTCCTGCCTCCAGTTATTTTGAGGACAGTACATGCTATACCCATAACATGTGTACCAGTGGGAGCAATGATACAAAGCAATGTGGCAGAGAGGCATGAGCTGCCCTCTAGGCAGGGCTGTCTAGCAGGGCAGCAGTACTCCAGGACAGTGTTCTCGCAAGTGTGCAGGGTGAAAACTTCTTTCCCCTTGTACCATGAACATGCATGACTCTTCACAAGATGTCATCTTTATCAGCTTACATCTTAGTTCACATGAAACCTGACAGAAGACGATAAATCTAGGATAAAGTTTAAAGCATGAGTAGAGCTGCATGGTCATTTTTAGCTCTTTGAATGTTCTTAAAAGCATTTGCTATCCAAGGGTACGTCCCCTTGGAGGCAGGTGGGAGTGATGACAGCGTGTGCTGGAATGCTTAAGCCATTATCCAGACTAGTTGAAGTGCCAATTAAGAGTGAAAAGATGGCACCAGGGAGGGGGTTATTAGTCCTGAAGCCCAGGACTCTCTGTCTTCCTTACACGTCATCCAGACTAGTTCAAGTGCATCTGCACAAGCTGCTGTCAACCCTCCAGGATGCACCCGCTCCCCTACAACTTTTCATGAGTGCTTGTGGCAGTGAGCAGGGACAGTGGGAACTGCTGCCAGTGGTGCATTTTCGTTTTTATAATTAATATAGAATATATAATTGTTGGTTTATCTTTTCTTTTTTTTTTTTTCTTTTTTTTTACTGTTACCAGAGTGCCTCTGATGGCTTTTGGAAGTCAGTGGCGACCCGTGTCCCAAGAGAACCTCATGACATACGTATCCTGAATCCCTACTTCATCCAGGAGGCAGCTTTCAGCTTCATTGGTTTGCCTTTCAACAATGGCCTGATGGGCAGAGGGGTAGGTATAAAGCAAAGCAAGCAAACCGTGGGGAAAGATGGGAGACCAAGCAGCAGTAGTCTTACACTGTTCTTACTGATCCTTTGGACCTCTGCTGATGGGAATTGAAGGGAAAGGACTTTGGCTCTGTTATGGTGGCAGTGCTCAGCCTCCATGAGGCCAAGGCAAGAGCCTTCCTTGGAACACTGAGGATTCTGTGCAGGAGCATCAATATTTCAGCAGTGTCTTGAAAGCAACTGTAAAGTTGCATCTGAGGCTTATCATAAAAGCGTGTAAAGGTTTGTTTTATGAGGCCTTTGGTAAGAAATTTTGATCTTACAAATTTTAGATGCAAAAGCTCACAAAAGAAAACAGTGCAAAAGACAGTCTTAGGTTATCGCTATTAACAAAAATACCTTCATGGTCATTCTCATATCTCTCGCCCCCAGTGTAGCTTTTTGGAGTGTTAGTGTGGAGTAGATGGTGACCTGGGTTTTCTGGATTATCTCACCCTGCAATGCTGTCCTCAGAACCTATTTATATTTGCTCTACCTAATATATCAACCATTAAGGAAAGTATTACTTGGGCGGGTAAATTACTCATGTACACATGTGATATAGTTGTTGATAGAGACTACACGTGACATTTTTGGATACATTAGCACAGCTGACAAACCTAGAGAGAAGCACTTTTGCTGGACAAGGTCTGCTTGCTCTGCCCCTGGTGTTGTCCTTCCATTGTCACCAGTACGGGAGATTTGCCATGTCACAGCAGGGGTTTGGACCAGACAGAATAGTGCCTTGTTTTTCATGTGAAGTCTTCAGAAATATTAGAGGTGTTTGTTATGTGCAGGTCAGGTGGGTGGGTGCCTGGAGATAGGAAATTCACTTCCTAAAACGCCATGTAAAAGATGTGCAGACAGATTCAGCCACACAGAACGGATCTTAAGTGAAATGTGTTGCTACATAGGTACGTATGAAAGATGTCACGGGGTTTTAGAAGCACTGGATTTTTCCTCTGTGCACTGAAGGTTTCTTATTCTAAATACTTCCATGAGGTAGAAAGTAAGTTACTTCACCTCACTGCATTCTCCAGAACTTACACTTAGAAAGATGTGGTCTTAATTTGTCTTCCAGAAAATCAGGAGCATTGCCCCAGTAAAGGACAGAAATCATCAGACTTTTGCCTTTATTTTCTCCAGATTTGTTTTTATTTTTAAGCACGTTATTTTAATACAGAAGATATTACTTAAGCTGAGAGGAGGAGAGAGAATCCGGAAATGAAAATGCTATGAACTGAAGTTTATGAGGTTTTGATAGGTTGTTTAACACACATCAGATTGGGAAATGAAGGCATCTTAATTGAAACCTGATGTTTCACTTCATGAAAGCCCATTTGAGCATTTAAAAATTGTTTATGGAGCTTTAAGGCAAGCAATCTTTGCCCATGACCCCTGCTAGTTTGTGTAAATTGTAGTTCATTCCTTCAGATGGGGCAACAGGAGCTCTGCAGGTGCATCTGTGGGCCAGGATGTTAATATACCCTGTGCTGTCTGTGCAAGGACACTCTAATACAGTGATTCTGTCAGTTTAAAAACAAGTTTTACTCGAGTCTGAATTGTATCTTGGTGATACAAATTTGCTACAGACCTTTTCTCACTAAGAGTTTAAATGGGAAGAGTAGAAATCAGAGCATGTAAACCAAGAATCCAATTCTCATTAAAGATCTGAGAGATACCCAGCAAGATGAGTGAGGCAGCTAGAGTGAGAATTGCTCCACAAGACACAGAGTGACTCAGAAGCTAAAGACCACAGCTGGCTGGGTTCAAGGTCGTGCTTTAGAGATGCAGGACAGCCTGGAGAGCTTTACTCAAGAAGGAAGCATATAAACATGGAAAAGGAAAATGTTGAGGTCTAGTAAGCAAAAGCACAGTGAACATTATGTGTCCTCAGTTTCTCCTGAGGAACCAGGATGGGGCAGATTGGTGCCTCCATGCTGCAGTGTGCTGTGGTATGTTGGGCAGGCTACACACAGGAGGATCAAGGCTGGGGATGCCTTAGTAATCAGGGCTAACACAAAATCCTCATAAAGAGCAGTAATATTCCACTTGTCTTTGGTTCTGATGCCTAAATAAACTTCAGTGCTTCTCTTGCACACCACATATGGTAACAATGTGCTGCCAATTAACTTTGTAATTTGAGGGCTTTTTCAGCAAGGTTGAGGAGAGCTGGTAAAATAGTTTGAGGCTGATCTCAAAGCGTTTTTCCCAGGATTCAATAAAGGGTGAATGTAGTAACATCCTCTGCTTTGATAGTATAATTTGGGCCAGATGGTTCTGGAGGATACTAGGGGGTACAACTCAGATCTGCCTTTTGGTTGCACTTACGGCATTAGTAGCTGGAAGTCTGAGCAAGGAGCAAAACTGGTCACCCACAACGAATAGTGAGTTCCCTCTGGGACCAGTAAAGTTTTCAGGAGTTTCCTCAGTCGGTTTACTGAAGTCTTAAGAAGAGGGAGAGCTGTTTCCTGCTACATTTCTCTTTTCTTGGGATAAGCTGATTATAAAGAAAAACTTTAGGATAGTAGCAACATCTGGGGAAAATTGAATGTTAATGCCTGAAGATGACTTATGAAAGAAATGAGCTAGTAAAGACCCTCTCTTTGATTAAAGAATGCTTTTAAGGTGTGGGTGTGGGTGCAGGCTTGGCTGTGTCACTAGCCAAAGGTGTATGTATGCGATTTATGTTACGGTGGAAGTTCTCTTTACAAGGGTCTTTTGGCCTTTAAACCAAACATTACTGGTATTGCAGCTTGTAATTCAGGCATGCAATAACCTACCTCACACTGCAGACAGTTTACTGGGGGACAAGCATGACCATCAGTTCCAGGGAATCATTGCCTGTTGCATGTCCAACAGTAGGGGTGGTGATTGCCGTGGTGCTTTTTGCTGTGTAGCAAATAGTTCTGTCCTCTTGGTAGCACTCGGAGCCATTGGAGCAGTGTGTTTCTGGCTTCTCTGGGAGCCCTGAGCATAGTGTGAGGTGGCCAGGAGAACATTTCAGATTACACAAATTATCAGGACTCTGAGGACTCCAGTGCAGACTGTGGTGTTTGTTTCTACCTTCCTGCTGTGTATCCATGGAACTGCTTGTGATTTAACTTCTTATGACATGAAGCTCTGCTGCCCAAAACTGCAAGCCTTTGATTTGTTTGTGTACCGGGAGTGACTGAATCTATAGACCCCTTACTAAAGAGATAAAGTGTCCTTCTCTGGAGCTCACCCAGCCTCAGCACCAACTTGATGAAGGAGGAGCCACATGCAAGAGGTGTTAGCAGGCTGCATCAAGCACCTGGCCGTGGATTAGCACCTCTACAGAGCGCTGACAGCCCTCATACACTCTGGGGTTAACCTCTGATGCTGGAGTGTTAGCATGTCCTTCCCCATGGCTTCTCTTTGCTGTTACATGTGGGCAGGCAGCCTTTCTGGATATGCTACTGGTGACCCCTTGCTCCTGAGGGAGTTTTTCAGCTCCACTGGCTGGTCATAATGACCCTTTATCTTGTTAGTACTGGGTGGCCCTGGTGTCAGCAAGCTTTGTCTCCTGGGTTGTTGCTGCTGGACTGTTATGAAGGCCATGTCGTGGGACCTGTCGGGTCTTTATGGAGCAGAAGAGAAGTAGGGATGGCAGGAGCAGAGCAGTCTGCTGCTCCATCCTTCCAGGTTGCATGCTTGTCCTTTTTTTTGCACTCTGACAGCATCTTCTAAGGCAGGCAGAGGGACATGTAAAGGGCCACTGCAGCTGCAGTCAGTTAAATATAGAGACTAGTGTCACTGTTAAGCTTTGGGTTTGCAAGACAGTACATCTGCTTCATGGGCTGCACTTTCCAATCCTTTACCACTGCACTGTGATCAGTCCATGATCTGCTGGGGATTGGACAATCAGACAAGCTATTACAGGGTAGCAGTTAGATGTACACCAGCTGCTTCTTGGTGAATGCTCAACCAGGTGCTTCTGCATGCGACAAATGCAGAGTAGCTGAAGGGAGTTTACTCTTCAATGAAAGAGTAGGCTGTGAACTCCCATTTAGCATGGGGTGAAGCATACATGTGGTTACCACAGAGCAGCTAGCATGTAGTAAAGTCATGCCCTTGCTTGCCCTCTGTTGTTAGGTCCCTAAGAAATACTCCCTGCATTGCACGGGAATCTGCTCTACAGCAAACAAAGGTGAATCAGAGCTAGCACATCAGCTTAGATGTGGTCAAAGATATTTTACGTGGGGTAACTAGGGGAGGTGAAGGAAGAGTGTTGGAGATGCTCTGCTTTGTCTTTCGAAGCCCAGTATTGCAGCTGATCTTGTGCATGGATGGAAGTAACTCTGGAAGCAGCACTTTGGATTGTAACCTCCTGTAACTGGGACCACTCTGCAGAATTCCAGGCATTTTTCTGCCTACAATAAGTGATGCTAAATTGCTTTTTATGCCGTATTTCCAAACTTGAAAGCTGAAGGAAGCAAAGAGTAGGTTTAGGTTTTTCCTATGCAAACATAAATGAACAAAACCAAAATACAGTGGCTGTTGTATATACCATGTGATGACTATTATAGTTTTGTTCTGTATTTCTTTTGGTTTGAAGACTTCATTGCTCTTAAGTGATCAAGTCTGTAACTGATAAAATTAGGGCAGCCATTTTTCTCAGGTAAGCATTTTTTTCCAGTTTCCCCTCAAATAAGTCAATATAGTAGTCAAACCAGGTGCATTATTGTTTGTAGGGAGCTTATTCTTTAGCAATACCCTTTTGTTGAAAAAGGTAACAGTTGGGATAGTCTGAACAATCCAATATATCTGACCCTGAGCTGAATAAAATCCCATAAATAACTGGAATTCATTTAACATATTAAGGGAGTCAAATATTTCTGAAAACAGATTTACAGCAGTCATTTCCTTCCAGTCCAGCAGGCAGTGACACAGAAATGACCCGGGCATGGAATGAAAAGCAGCAAGACCTTTTCACATGCACCTAGCAAAGAGTAGTTACGGTGCCCTGGTTCAGTCACCAGCACTTGATCTCCAGTGCAAGCCTTAAAGGTGATGCTCAGCTTCCATTAAGTCCAGAGGGGCCTGGTGCCAGTCATTTCTGCTAACTGGCTTCTTTTCTTCTCTGAGTAGGAGTCCGTCTGTAAAGCCTCTTCAAGGGGAACAATGGAAGATGAAACAGCAATGGCTTGAAGGGAAGCCTTTTATCTTTCCCCTTGCAGCAGAGAACAGTGAAGGAGCAGTTAAGGAGAACCTGTCCTGTGTCTGTCTGTACTGCTAAATGCATTTCTGGTCCCCTGACATGGTAGTGCAGACTGACTGTGTTTGCACCAATGCAAAGCTTACAGTGATCCCTGATGCAGCTCAAGACCAGAGATGTTTGCCTCTCTTGTCTTTATGCATTTCTCACCCAGGATCAAGCACACATGTGCTCACCTCATCCATGGAGGACATGTGGCAGCAGGCCCCTGGAAGGAGCCATGCTCCGGATGCACAGGCAGCCTTTGCCCAGCACTGCTGCAATGATGTGTTGCTCACCACCACTGTATTTGCTGCTTCTGTTTGTCATATGGCCTTTTGGTGTCGTCTCTGGCTCATCTGTCAGTCTGCTGTGTTCTCTCAAATGGGACCAGGCAAAGGCCTGATCCCTGGAGAGCATTATATTAGACATTACATTTTCCAGATGTTTGGTCCTAGACAAGCAGGCCAGGCTGGGAAACATGGGCTGTCAGTTCAGGCCACATTGTTCAGGGATGTTGCCCTTGTAATTGTTTATCAGTGCTGGAGAGGAGATGCTGAACCTGGTACCCACCATGGCCCCTAGCTGGAACAGAAACCTGTGAGACACAGCAGGAGGTACAGAGCTTGCAAGGACAAGCTCAAGGCTTGTGTCAGGGAACTGGCAGGGGGAGAGGACTGCCAGTGCTTTCTGGGGTCTTGCCATTCCCAACTCTCCCTGGTTGGTGGGCACCGGTTAAGGTCAGAAGCTCATCATGGCCACATCTGGAGCAGCATTCCTGCTGGGAACTCCAGAAGCCCCATTCTGTGGCCTGGCCTGCACTGACAAGTGTTTGTGTGGCTGAGAGGCATCCCAAGAGGCTTCTGCCTCCTGAATGGCCACTGCCGGGCTGCCATTCTCCAACTGTGTGGTTGAAAGCAGCATTACTCGAGAGTACAGGAATACCCGGGCACACAGCCGTTATCAGGAAGACAGGCTCTGAGCTGGTCCACCCCCAGATTCCTGCGGCAGGACGTTAGGATTTTGGTTCAAAGGCCTAGAATAACAAGAGGGCTGCTCAGTTGTTTGAGTTTTATTTTCATAATGCAAGAGGTGTGGTGGTTGCTTTGGTATGTCTTTGGGGCACGGCACAAGGGTGTGTGTGGTGAGATAGCAGTGACGCATTGTGCAGGGCATAGCAAGCCAGGTTTGGCAGAGCCATGTCCATGATGCTTAATTTCTTTTGGAGTGACCTGTTGCCCACCTTGCCCTGAAGGTTGTACATGCTTCATTAGGTCCAAATTAGAGCTTAGCAGCAAATGAATTTATATGCCTGTGTACAATGAGAAGAGCTTGGAAGCTGTGTAGATGTAGCCAGAGGATAATTATAACCATTTCCTCTCTCTGATGCACCTCCCCTCTTATTTGCCACTTCTTAGAGGAGAGTACAACCCTTTCCCCCGGACCTGTAGAGTGCTGCTGAGTTGGCTGCTGTGCAGCACAACCAGGGACACTTCTCTAGATCCTACAGGGCCTTTTCTTTCCCGTGGTGCTTCATTTTCAACAGAGGGAAGGAGTAGCAGAAGCTCAGCAGGAGCAGGCTGTCATAGGAGAAAAGGGCTCAGTTTCTATAGTATAAACCAAGTCAGGACCAAAGCACTGTATTGACTTACAGTAATGACATTTAATTAACCAGGAGGCATGCTTCTTTTATACTTCTGTTCAAGCTGGCTCTTTTTTCAACTTGGCTCCTTCTTTTTTTCAAGTCTGTCTGATTCCCCTTCAGTTACTGTTTAATCTGTCTGATGGCTGCTGCTTCTTTAACCGGAGCAAATACCCAGTTACATGTATTTGATCCAGGCGCACGTGGGTACACACACAGTTTGTGCACATGTTCTCTTAGCAGGTGCTGTTATCCACACCAGCCTCAGGCTGCCCTAAGCAGTTCCTGCCCTCAGTGAATAGCAGGGATAATAATTTTTACAGTATTTTCAAGGTGGTCCTCTCTAGCCCCCAGGGTTCTGGCTGCAGCAGTGGAACATGAGGCTGCATCTCAACAGTGAACATGTAAATGGCTTCAGATCTCTTGTCTTCAAGGACACACACACACACACTAGGCTGTAGCTACCATAGTACTGGAGGGTGCTGACATCACAAATTTTAATTAAACTAAGGCATAGTTTAATTAAAACCTTCCATCAGATCATGATTTTCTGGATTTTAGGACAACACTGTTTTGCTAAGGACACCATTTCTGATAGTTGTAGGGGCCAAACCTGATACATCTACTACAATCCAAGGGGTTAGGATGTCTTTGGTAGCCTTTGGTATTTTAATAATTTTTGAGAGAGGAGCAGGCACTACTGAGATAACTGCATGTCAGGAACTACTGAAAAACAGAAGCAGGTGAGAAAACTGTCTCCTATTTTTCCATTAAAGCCATTGGAGGTATTATGCCTAGAATAAAGTCAGGCAGATATTTGGTGACCAAAGGAAAGTTCACTTGTGATTTCTGTAATCTGTTATTCTCCAAACACAAATAAGGATACGCCTGAAAGAAAGTTATGGTGGTTTGGCAGTCCTCCCGTAAGGTTGGGTAGTATGATTAATTCTCTGTGGTTTGTAAGACTCACATTAGAAAGTCAGCCCTTAAATGTTAACTCGGCCAGTGAAATTCCCTCCAGGCAAAGACCCTATGTCTCCCCTGAGCTGTACCGTGGGAATGGGCTCAGTGCAAGTGTGGGTGGCATTAACACCATCGTATTCCCACCGACAGCACGACACGTTCTCAAGGACATAACCGTTTACTCACTGTGTTTTGGACACTGTAACTACAGCTCAGCTGAGGGAAAGGGTTTTGTGGCATGTCCCCTTACCAGCTGATGCAATTCCAGTGACATGTGAATGTCACCTCCTATGTAAAACATAAAGCTGAGAATATCTGAACTTGAACTGCCGTGCCTGGAAGACAGGATGTTCTGGCATGTTTTGAAATTTGGGCAGATTTTCTTATCCTTGCCTAATAAACTTTCTTCATTTTTTTTTAACCCTATTTTATGATATTTTATGGCTACCAGTGAACTAGCAATTAACTAGTGCCCAGAATAAAACCGATATTGTTTCTGTTGAGTATCAACTGAAATTAAGCAGCAGGAACAAAATGAATCTGTTGTCTTTCCTAACATCCAGAGCTGACACAGGAGGATGTAGTTAAGGTCTTTTAATTTCAGATATGCACCATTACAATTGAAATGTTTGAATTTTCTGTCTCGCTAATCTAGTCATAAGAAGTTGTTGCACATTTGTTTTCTGATTAGTGTGATTCCAGTGCACTGTTCACTGTTAGGGAGTTCATAGTTTTCCTCCCAGTTCTGCACTTCTCAGCTAGGGTATAGGTGGCATTCTTTGCTTGGAAAATGTTGGTCTTGGAACAGTCAGGCAATGGTAAGTGAGCAAGGTAGTGTGTTGCCAAAAGCCAGCTCCTTTGAATGAGAGGCAGAAACTCAAAACATGATGTTCTAACAGACTGGGCTCTAACACAAGGTGAAATGCAATAGCATTGCTTTTGCTAGTTCAGGGTAAACCATATTAAATGCAAAATATGAGTGTGCAGTTGGTTTCTACATCTCAGCTAAGAGGCTGTCACCATTGCTGACTGAGCATGTCCTCTGAACTTGTGATGCTTTTGGTAACAGCCAGTGTTGGGTGCTCTACAAATGAAGATAAGATATGTGGGTGGATTTCTCAGCCTCTCCTTAGCCCCTGGGATAAAGCTCCCTCTGGATTCATCTGGCTAAAGAGGAGCTAGAAAAGTTTGTGAGCTGGAGTTTTACATTGGAAACACGTCTGTCACAGGGGTCATACTCATCTAAGTGCACAAGAGGAGCTGCAGCCATACAGCACCACTGCTGGAGGGCCTCAGCAGAAGCCATATGAAATGGGAAGGGCTGAGGCTGGATTTTGGTTCAAATGGCAGCTTAGTAGACAGGGAGGACATTTGGGATGTCCCTGCTTAGTGTGCTACTACCCATCTCCAGCTGGCTTCCCACTGCTTCTCATCTTCCCAGTATTCTGTGGTGAGGAACGGTATGGCACAGGCCGGAGTGCCCTTTGCCTTTGGTGTGCCCTTGAGCAAAGGAAGGGGTCTCAGTGCACACTGCTGACTTCTCTCCACCTCCCAGAGCTGTGTAATGGCCTCCTTAAACTGCTTTTGCTATGAGTAAAATAGAGAGTTTGTACTGTTCCTCACTTCTGCTCCTGTGTGGTGGTCAATTTGGGATAAGTATTCGTCCCTGGCCTACCTGGAAGCCAGTGATGTGCATCGTATTGTAATCTAGTATCTACATCTGTTTTGACTTCAGAAAACTAACTGTGGTTCATCCTCCAGCTCATTTGTTGCCCCATTCTCAGAATAGCAAAGTTGTGGAAGGCAAGTCTGACCATTTACATTAATCCCTCTGCCCTGCAATACTCCCCTGGAGAGTCAGGTCATAGAGCCTCAAGCAAGAGCTGCTGCTTTTGTACTAGATGCTTTGCAATAAGGTGGTTAATATGATTTTCTTTACCCATTGTGGGAGGCTGTTGACCCTGCAAGGTGGCATTAGGCAGTTGATGTGCAGATATAGCCAAATACCCTGTTCCTGATTTCTGCTTAGTAGCAGCAGTGCCCCTGTGAGCAGAGGCAATAAGAGGAAATCTTTGATTCTAGAAATGGCAACCTGCTAATGACTTCCATTCCTGCTTTCTCTCCTCTCAGAACATCCCTACCTTGGGAAGCGTAGCAATAACCATGGCTCTCCACAACTGTGATGAGGTGGCGGTAGCTGGGTTTGGCTATGACATGAGTTCACCCAATGCACCGCTGCACTACTATGAGAACATCAAGATGTCTGCCATCAAAGAGGTAGGGAGCTCCTGCTAAGCACATCTTCCTCCCAAGCCTTCTAACCACCCCAACTCCAGAGCCTGACTTGGATGGTGATGTCAACTTCCAGCTTTCCTGTATGGGTCAAAACTCAGCTCCACCCATGCATTTGCCAGTAAAATTCTAGACATTCTCCCAAGTGCAATGTGTGTTAAAAATGGTTGTTTCTGCTGGGAAAAGTTCTCTGGAATGTGTGTATAATGTGATTCCTTCTTCGAGCAGCAGGGAAAAGTTTCACATAAATGTTAACTTGAGTTAGGGTGAAAGGGAGCAGTACTGCTGTGGGGGTGAAAAGATGTGGCCTCCTCCTGCTTTTTGATCCTTTGTATTGCTCTCTAATCCATAGACTTCTTTCACTAGATGATCCCCTCAGCCCCTGTGAAATGTGAAGGAGGTGAGATTAGCCCGTGCATGTTAGTTCTCAGCTGGCTCTTCAGCAGTAGTTAGGTAGTGTAAACACATCGCTGCTCTGAGGAGGCTGTTCTTTAGTGCCAGCTCAACATTAGAAAGATTTTCTGGTACTATCACAGTAAGATGAACAGCATTTTTAGAGGAACGCTGGTATAATGCAGCAATATAAAGATGCTCTTTCAGGTCTGTTCATTTCCTGTACCAAACCAGAGCAGACTTGGACACCGGTCAAAGCTTCTACAGTGGGAAAGTTTGATGCTTTATTGATAGAGCTCATTCTTTCCCAGCACAGATGTTGCCCAGGTCTTTCTAAGATTGCTGCTCCCTCTTCACTGGCTCCTGGGTAGGGAAACTTTCTCCATCCTACTCCATGTTGTGAAAATTGTATTGTTCATGGTCAGTAGCTGTCTCCTTGCAGTTGTTCGCCTTGCATTTATTCACCTCAAGCGCTTTGCCATTGATCCAGGCCAGGAGAGAAGCTGGAAAGTTGTGTTTTTCCACATCACAAGATTGTACGTGTCTTAGTACTCTCACAGGCTGTAGGCTGCATGACCCTAGGCAGACTGAGAGGAATTAGAAATCAGTGATTAGTCACCTTGAGAAATAAGAAGAACGTGTCTAATGATCAGAGTAATGAGGCTTTGGAACAGCCTCTCAGGAAAGGCCAAGAGAACAAACTGAGTCTGGGAAAAGACTGTGAGGAGGTCCCAGATACAGAAAGGGACCAAACATTTTTGTCCTGAGGTACCTTCTGGGCCTATGGAGGTAGCCAGAAAGTCTGCCTTGCTCAGTGGAATAACCATGGATTTAATCAGTCCAGGCTGGGAAAGTGAGTGCCCATTTACAGGATTTAAGAGGTATGTCCAGAGAGAAGAAGTGAATTGAGACACTACTTACAGAAGTGGTGTCTGGCTTGTGAAATCCCTGAATGGAAAATAGCTGAGGAATGTCATTCTTGCAGTAGTGGAGGAGGTATCACCGTTTGTTTGCCCAGTTCTGTCTCTTCCCTGGGCGTCTGCTTATAACCACTGTCTGAGACAGAACCCTGGGCTACCCAGGCCCAGAACTGAGTCAGTACAGCTGGTTCCAGCAAAGACACCACTACACCAGAGTGAAAATGAATGCAGATGCCTGGCTCCAGCAGTGGGTACAGAGACTGTTCATGAAAGTTTCAGGAAAATCTTTTGCCTGTGTGGAAACCACAGTATCTACTCTGGTGAATCAGCTGCCTTTGGTGAAGAATCGCTTTTGCCTAGTTGTTCCTCCTGTCTCATAAGGATGTCTGTTCTTGGGCATGGGGACATTCACATCAAGTGTCCTGTGCCAAGCCTGTTTTGCAACCTGGTAGGTGTCTCTGAACTCAAGGACACCTAAGCTGGAGTTGACAAGGATGAAATCTTATTGCTTTTGATGCTTACATGAATGAATGGGAAAAGTTGGCAAAAGGAGTTGGATGACAGAGTCTGTGGTTGAAGTCGCCAGTCCACGTCACTTGGATCTTTGACTCTGGAGGACAGCACCCTGAGTGGGATGTACAAACCAGCAGAATAAAGGATGGAGTTACTCTTGGACACCATATGTGGTTTCAGGAATAAATCTTGAATGGCACAGGGCAGTAGATGAAGATGAACATGTGAAATGCAACCAGTAGAGAGACCAGTTGGTGCCTGGTTTGTCAGGCCTCTGCTGTCTGGAAGCTGTCAGTCATCATGTCCAGGATGTGCTGTATGGAGGTGAGGGAGTGTTGAAAGGTTCTGGTGAAGCCTGACTAATTCAGATGTCAGGGGGTCTGTTTCTGTAGCCGGGGCTGTTGATGAGAGCTCTGCAGGCCAGCAGAGCTGGTTCTAGGAGGAAGGTTCCTCTTCCGCTTGAAGGCTGGTTATGTGATATGTGTCTGCCCATCTAATCCTCACATCCTCAGCCACAGGCTCCTCTTACCTTTCGCTGTCCCGGTACAAGAAAAGCCATCTGTTCCCACGTATCAATAATTAAAGCTCCTCCTGCCTCTGCCCCTCCCAATATGACAAATTGTTTGTGATATTGTGGAATGTGAAGAGCAGAGAGAGGATTGCATTTCTTTCTCTTCCATTTAATATTAATGGCAGCTGATAACTGTTAGTCACCTGAGGGTGAATTTGAAAGGTGAAGGGCATAATAGTTGTGTGTGGTTGCTCTCAAAGAACACACAAATGGAGATTTGCCACACTCTAGACTGGAAGCACCCTGCACACTCTTCTCTTCAAGAGACCTCTGCATGGTTTGCAAATGAGAAGGCTGGCCTGCGTTGGTACCTTGTGCCAAAACTTGCTATTGCTGAAAGGAGACTGACCCAGAGCCAAGTTCTACCAAGGTTTTTGTCTGTTCCATCTGCTCTGATGCCCAAAGGCCCAAGAGCATCCACAACATTTTCCTCAGTGTTACTTTGGACCTCCGGATTGCATCCTCCGTCCTGGCCCTTGACTTTCCACCTCTAAAGGAGCTCCTAAAGCAGGCTATGCTTTGAAATTATTCAAGTATCTTATTTATGCTTTGTCTGGCCAGCAGACCCATGGAGGCTCAAGTACTGAATCCTGGGCAGGGGAACAGAACAGGTTTGCTTAACATAGCAACATCAAAGCACTGAAACAACTGACATGGGATTCAGCAGTTCACCATGATGAACATCCTAGGCAGGAACACACAAGTTTGACCAGGCTTTGGTGGGGCAGAACCTCTGTTTCCGAAGTTCAGATCTTTTCCCTTACTGCCAGGTCATTCCCAGCCTGAAGGACCAAGAATCTTCAGTGTTTAAGCCTGGAGAGCAGCTGCAGGGAAGCTCCACCCTGAAACCATCACTGTCTTTCAGAGGAAATGTAAACTCCAGCAGCGTCCTGGGTCTGGAAGTGCCACATGTGTGTGTCTGGCTCGTGGAAGTCTCCCTGGGGACATCCATTGAGTCCCTTACTTGCCTGTTGTCCTCAGGGCGAACAGGCCTCCTAGTGAGCCTGCATCCTCTCAGCAAGGTGTGTCACTGGTTTACACTTGAGTCCTGCTTGACATCTCTCTGGACACCCCTGAAACCCTATGACTCATCTCTGAGGAATTTGTTCTGATTACATAAAAAAAGCCAGCAAAATGTGCTTGCTTGCTCACAGCTGGGGCGGAGATGCCTCTCCCATGCCAAGACTGAGGTGATAAAATCTCTGTGGAAATGAATGTGATTTTTCCTGTTGCCCTGTGGGACTTGTGGCTGAATTTACAAGAGGAGAAACAGGCAGCCCCAGTGTACAGTTCTGCTTAGTCTTTGCTTTCCCCACGGGGATAAAAGCCCTCAAGGTCTAAGATTGTGCTACTATTGCACAGAAGGAAGCTGCCTCCCCTGCCTCTTCCAGCATCTCCAACTCCCAAGGGTTGGACAGAGGTAAAGGCTCTGTGAGGAGGCAGATGCTCTGAAGTTTCATCAGTATTACCAGTCAAGGGGAAGTGTATAGTCTTTGGACTCTGGTCAGTGACACGGCTGCAAATTTCCTATGGATTGTTCTGTGCTTCTGGAAGTTCATGAGACTAAGTTTCTCCAGTGTAGTCCTGAATGGCTTCCTTACCCCCTGTCCTAGGTATATTGTACTCCAGCCAGGGTACGTCCAAGCAGACCTGATGGAGAAGACAGATTTCTGTTCTTAAGTGTGCTCTGGAGAGCTGGAAGCACACTGGTGTGATGCTTTCAGTTTCAGGTTGTGAGCTGGAAAATGAATGCTTGCAGTGCAGAGCCGCCCCTGGATCCCAGCTCTGCTGCCCAGCACCTTCTTCCCTCATCTCTCATCTTGTCCCCATCAATACCAGAGGTACAGAGTGGCCTGCACTTCAGCAGAGGTTTTCTAGGTGGTGTGAAGACAGCTTGCTGGTCTCTGGTCTGTTCCTGGGAGACTGCTGCCCAATAGACCCAGTGTACACTCTCACAGGTGATTTTTCAGAATGCAGAATGTCAAATGTGTCATCTCCCTTCAGTTACCATTTTCCCTATTCCAAATAACTTTGCAACAGCTTTCCACCCTTGGCTGCTTCCACGAATGCTGTACAGAAAATGACTGAGTCCTTGCCAAGGTGTCTGCTCACTTGTTTCTGTTTTCATGGCAATGGGTCCACTGAAGCTGAATTTTTTATAGTTTATTGTATTTTTTAGTTCTTGCTCAGGTCCTGTAACGCTTTCTCCCCAAGCACTCCGTAATAGTATAGGCTTATCACAGGTCACTGTCTTCTATTAATCTAGAAGTGTCAGATCCACGGGGAAAATAGCGAAGAAAACATGGAAATGGGGGTGAGGAATAAGAAAGTCATTTTAAAATAGAGCAAAGGCTTTTCCGGGTGTCCTGGGTTCAGCCCCGGGTGATAAAAAATTATGAATGAATCTGCCCATAAGGATTACAGTACTCCTTCACTGATAGTATCTAAACAGGGTAGTATTTCAGGCAGAGATTTTTCAGGATGGGAAGAAAGCAACTGTTTAGAATAGTAAAAACATATCCGTAAGGAGTTGGTGAAACTAAGAGAGCAGGAGGCTGTGTTAAATCCCGGGAATGAAAAGCAAGACT